TAATAAGCTGCTCTAAACCTTCACGTCGGAGTGAACCATGTGCTCTTGCACAACAGTGCAATGATTGAACTACAGTTGCGAATTCGCATAATCAGAAGCGTACTTGAAGCTAAAATACAAATGGCATTTCCAACTAATGGGACTTTGTCCCATCAATGAGCGCTAAAAGGACGCGTTGTGGTTTTTAAGGTTATCTTCTCAAGCAAACCGGAATGATAAAACCTTCTACGGGTGAAACCACTTATTATTTAGCCAATCTCGTATTTCCGCCCTTCGATCATCTACCAGGTAGTTGCACTTAGATGATGGTCTAGCCCTAAATTCTATCCACCCCTTATTCGNGCCCATGGATTTGACCTGTTCCATATACATAAAAATAATTGATTCTGTATAATAATAGATATCTTTTGAGCTGCCAGACGTCTGTCTGACCGCTATAAAGAGTACAAAGGGTAGAACTACCGGCGGTTATCAATCTCTGTCTAAGCACACAGTCAGTAAGCGCAAAGCTTTGTTGACACAATGAAAAAAGGTAATCAGACGAAGTCAAATTGCTACTTTTATGGAAGAACAAGAAAATTGTAATCCACATCCATTCACATGTTCGTAAGCTGTTTGTCCGACCACTTATTCATAATTGTGTGATGCAAGTAGCCTTCGTCAACCTGACTCAAATAATTCACTCTCAATGTGCAACATAGCTATCATCTTCCTTAAATACAGTTTACTTTTCTGTCACTTACCCCATATTTGATCAGTTTTATTATATACTGTCTTTAACCAATCAGTGATGCACAAAAAATTAACGTATTTTCTAACCTGTAATTTTGTCACCAATCGACCGAGTTCAGCTTTCTCGTCTTCCTCCACTTTGACCATAAACTTGTGTTACTCGAAATAACTGACAGTGAATACATTATTATTATTTTTATTGCTGAATGGTTATGGGTATACGTGATGTTTACAGAATCGGTTACTACAACAACTATGTTTCCAATGCGAGCACACACAAAACGTAGCACGAAGACGATGCTTCCTGTATTCCGCTCGGCTTGAAACAAAAAATATGGGACTCATCCTGTAGCAGCCCAGTTTATCCGGTTAGTGATGAGAAATTTTGCGATCAAATGTCATTCCCCGGCTTCTGGTTTCTTAGTGCTGCGCCTCCAGCATGAGCAGAACAATTCTTTCGATTTCTGACGCAAACTTGGCAAAGTCAGAATCAGTATGACCGGATTGATACAACTGTTCAGTGTGGTCAAAAATACACTGAGTAATTGATTCGGCGACCCGGGTTCGTAGAACAATGTGTTTGTGGTCTCCACCACATAGTAGAACGTGCCGTACGCATGCGCGGCGAACAAACTGACCGCGAAACCGTATGTGCATATGGTGAATGAGCGCATAATTCGTTGTTCTTGCTGTTGTACGGCCGGAATAATCGTGTTCGATTTGCGAATCAGTCGTCGCATAAAGAAGATAATACGAAAATGTACACCCAACATCACCAACGATGGCAAAAAATAGTAGAATATTAACCACACATATGGATGCACATAGTTAGAGTAGAATGCATCCTCAGTAGTCACCAGGGACATGGCAATACACGATCCGTTTCGATATTGCACTAGTAAACTAACCGGGATGGCCAAGGATGCGGTATAGATAAAAGTGATCACACTGGACACGACAAGATAACGATGGAAGTTGAGTTTGTAAGTTGCTGCGTATACAGTAGCCCACAATCGGTCTACTGTGATCCAAATCAGGTTGCTCGTACTCAGCACGACAGAGATCCAATAGAACAATTGACTGTCCCACAAGTGGCACGTGATCAGATCGGTTACAGTATCACCAGTCTGTCTGCTCTTTAGTACACACATCAAAGTACTGAAAAGGCAACTGATTGCATCTGCGATTGCCTGAATTCGGAGTAGGATTAGGGTGAGTTTCGATGAGAGCTGAAAGTGTTGCAACAAAATGAATAGACCCACGTTGAGAACACATCCGACACTGGTCACGAAGGCATAAAATACTTTCAAACCAATTGCTGAGTCAACGCTCATGTGTTAAACCTTGTGTGATGTGATCTTATTCGCAAAGTAATTGTTCTCGTTAAGTGTTTTGTAGCTGGATAGCCATGACTAGTGATTGGTTCACGCTTACAAAGGGATTAAAAGATATTGCTGCCTCATACGCCCACGTCTGCAGAAACACGAGCGCACACATGCTAAACGCCACCAAGAACACAAAGTCAGTCACTGATTTGCGGAACCATTCAGATAATTTGGTGTGTGTGTGTGTGTGTGTGTGTGTGTGTGTATTCCAGTCTTATTGTTAACTTGTGCACCTGTGCGAAGTCAATTTCACATACATGATCAGATAGTAATCTTTCCGATTGTTCCTCCCATAGAAGAAAATACTAGGGTCCTTGAAGAAACAGTGAAAGTATAAAACACTATAATCGAACTGAATGGGCTAATTGTTGGAAATTATTCCTGTTTTTTTTATACCGAAACAAATGCGCCCGAAATTCGTAACTAATTCACGGGATCACGGTTTTTGCCCTAACAAGTAGTCTCACGTTGCCGGGGTTTGACGTAGACCAGAAACTGTTTCACAAGTCAAAAAGAGAGTTGCGAATAGTTTTGCCTAATTAACGGAAAATATAGACATAAATGTGTTATTCTGGTGATGAGGCAAGTAATATCACCCGGCAAGGTATGGTATTACAAAGTTGGAAACATATCAGACATATTATTGCTGGTTCTCGGTGTTTGGGCATCAAATGCAAAACTATTCCAACTTTTCTGGGCTCCTCGTCAACTGTACAAAATTTAGAGACTTAAGACGAAGATACCAAATATTATTTAACATAATCCAATGAATAATCTTAGGTGTATTGGCGGTAGTCTTCAATTATGTACTATGGTCATCTTCTCCCAGTTAGGTCTCGGGTTTTATTCGCAATTGGGTCGATGGATTTGCAGTGCTGGTGAGATTCAGGCGGATCGAACCAGCTGTATGATGTTTTCTGGTTTCTCAGTGCTTACATCCTTTGTTCTGTGCATGATAAATTTCACTCGACTCCTGACTTTGATTAGTCGGCGACGTACTGGATTCCCGTCTATTGAGTAGTTTACCGTAGAGATCTTTTTAGGGTTATATTTCCACATGTGTACATCCTGTTATTCAGTGGGCACATCAAACCGAAAAATGTGGTCGAATGCCATAATCAGTGAACCTGTTGTCCAATTGATTTTATTAAGTGATAAGTTGTAACAAATCCAATACAGTTAAATCTATAGCGCACGAAACGCAATCACCCACACTGTGCTTTTTCCGAAATCTCTTGTTGAACATGTCACTCAGATTTATGATAAGCGGTACGATGATGAAACAGATCATTAAGGTATAGGGGAATAAGGCGGATTTGGATTATGACGTTGCTCGAAAGTTTTCCTCTCCCATCAAAGTGCACTTCGTTGTTCACCACGTAAATTGTGTGTCAGTCATGCGACCGAGGCGGCAGGTGGCCTTTTTGTACAAGATTTAACCGCACTCACGTCGCACACGGAAGGAGAACGATAATCATCACAGTCCTCTGTCGTCGTTGAGTTCATGGAACCGTCAATTGTTTAACCAGAACGATCGAGATTACCGGGGATGAACCAAGGAAAAATACTCGTCTAAAATGAACTGAATAGTAGCATTTGCGAGATTACTGGAAGAGTTTTTCGACCGATTGTTCGTGAACGTCTCGCTGAAAGACGTCGATATAACTTGCAGCAGAAAGATTCAATTCAGAGAAAGGTCTCCAATTGACAAACTAGGTCGCTCCCACATGCTGATTAAAATCAGATAACGTATGCGTTGAAGTTACAGTGATCGCTACACTTGAGTGAGAATGTGCGGCGCCTACGTCAAATATTACGAACTGCACCAAACATCCCAGGTAGCACAACGCTGCGAATCCATTGGCTACAAAGCGCTACCTATGAGCTACATCAGCTACATCTGTTAATAAACAACAATTTACGTTTAAAATCTAATCATAATACTTGCTTTTGGTTTAACGACTCATTTTCATTCCTAAATCAATCAAAGAGCTAGTATCTTTTGAGTCAAACTTCCCTGACTTTATTTTAATTTACGGCGTGAAATGATGGTTTGAGTGGCTCTTATCTTGTGCTGGGTTGTCGTTATTTTCTGCTCTGTATTTCTTATTTCTTAACGTCCATCGGATAGTGAATAAAATTTTGTGATGCATTCATTTCATTGTTACTGCTTTTGCTTTCATTAACTAATTTTTTCCGAGAAGTACTTCAACAATCACAGAAAAAACATGTTATTTTATTCAGCAATTGAAGACTTGAAGCTTCTTAAAATGTCATCCATATCTCATTGGACCTTTTATTCTGTTTGTTGCGAGGCTACCTTTTATGAACACAGAAAATGTTGTCACAGATCAAGAGGTAAACTAATTGTGAAACGTGTTTTATACGAAATACGTTTTCTTTTATAGTGCAGCCCATTTCCTTCAATGTGCATTCACCGCGGAGCAACTGGAAGAATTGGAACGAAATTTTTCAGGTGACAATATATATCAAAAATTTGTAGGTTTCAGTTATGCTATCTATTGAGTGCTGAGATTAAACAATTAATGCAAATGGGGGGGGTGGAAGACTTGGCACATACGGTGAAATATGCCATGTCTACGGTACTGCATGATTCATTTGCTGTGCTGATGAATTATACCGGAAACATGAGAAAATACAAGCTTCCGGTCGTTTGTTTATTAAAGTTGTTATTGGTAAGTAATTATGATAAGATACACATTACTTTAGTAGATGCTATCCGGTCGAACCCCAGATTTATCATTGTTTCCATGGATTGTGTTGAGCGCGAAATACGCATGTAGTTCAAAAATACGGCGGACGGAATAGCCACCAGAAAATTGCGAAAGGAAAGTACTACAGAGCAAATGTATTATACTTTTTACCTTTATAATACATATCGGCGAATAACTGTTNAATATGCCCAATTATCCCCACGAAAGCCCCTGATTACAGTATACGCTTGTTTGAAGGTATCTTCTATTTAGGATTAACATGATACGTGGGGGTGAGGGAAGATAAAAGGGATTTATTCAATTAGTCAATAAAGTGCGTTGGAACCATCACAAGACATGTGCTCAAGCACAATGGAAGATAGTGATATCGCGAGCAAATATGGGGTCTATAAGCAGAGATCAACTGCAAACCCAGCTATGTGATCGATTAATTGCTGGTATTAATTATCCGGAATTACAGCCAAAGCTCCCGCTCATGCACGATTGCACATTTCAGCCGGCTACGGCAGTCTGTGGACAGTACCAAGACGTC